CTGACAATTAGAAGTGGAACATTATACACATACACAGTCCTTGCAAATTCAAGACATCACTAGTGGCCAAAAATTAGACAAACAAACATCAGATGCAATGCTGGCACAACTGATGGGAATTACTCTGTCCACAAACATGCCAGATCTTTAGGCATCCCACGTATCCTTCCACATGAATTTGCAAACTACAATAAAAGTCACATTAAAAGTTTCTGACCTGTAATAAATCCCACAAATCGGGAGCTCCCGAAAGTAGTGACACCCACAAAAGTATCGAGCCCTCAAAAAGTATTGAGACTTTTTAAATTATGTTATGAACATACCGAATGCCTTTATTGTTTTCAATTGCAATCCATAGTCAGATTTATAATGAACAATACTAATATCCTTGTGCATCTACAAATTTATCACGATAAGGCACTTAAAAACAAGGGAAAACATAGCATGCCTGAAACTATCATTTGTCGTTGACATCAGTTAATAGATTGCATAATGTAAAAGCTAACTTGATATAAAGTTCATATCAACAACAGGTTAAAATTGAAACTTCTGTATATTGCATTATAAAACGCATTTGTTTGTTACGGATTAAAAGCACTGAGTTCAGCTTCCCTCCTCAGTCAGAGAAGAATTCATTGCTCTCATTTTTATCCAGAGTATTGTTGTATTTAGCATGTTACACATATGAATATTTTTTAATATTATGTTGTTTATTTTTCATTTCAGTAAAGAGCTAGTGCCAACTTTGGTTCATGGTTTTTGGTCCCGCCAAAAGTAACGACACCCCGAAAGTAACAAGCCCCAAAGGCTGCTAATTCCGAAAGTAACAAGGCTCACCACTATGGAAACTTTACAATAGCAATTGTTTTGTTTTGTTTTGTTCCCATTCCTGCAGACTAAACTTGCCTTTGTCCTTCACAAAATTTGGCATAGCGAAGTGTGCTCTAACTTTAGCTAGTTGATCATGAATAAGAAATCCCTTGTCTGCCATCAACACATTGCCTTTGTGTAAATGAGTGTAAAATCGTGACTTCTCTACAATCTCAGTGTCGCTTATGGAGCCACAATATAGTGTGTGATTCCAATAAGTGCCTTCATTGTGGTAACTTATACATTGAGTAACATAAGGACTGATTGTCTCAACTTGACAGTGATTCCATTCGAATTTCTGTACAATCAATGATTGAAACAAGCTCTGGGTATAACTCTATAAGCATTGGAGGCATATGTTTAATTTGCTCTTTGCTTTGGCTTTGTTTTGCGTGGTTGTAGCTCTGACTTCATAAACCTAATCCAAGTGCCGAAAATATCTGACAGTCTGGATACAGAAACTCTTAATCCATCTGCTAGACCCTTTTCAAAAAGGCCCATGCTGAACTCCTGCCAGAGTGAAAGTTTCCTCTTTGTGCCAGATTTTGGGCGTCAAAGTTTATACGCTGATTATTCCCATAGCTCAGGTTAGCTGCCTTTTCTTTCAACAGATTAAAGCATATAATCATTATGCTGTAATTAGGAAAACCAGTACAAAACGTGATATCTGCCTCATTATCATTGAAGTCACCAATATTGAACAATTACTCTCTTTCCAATTTGTACTTTAATTTATTCATGTCTATTTTCAAAGACTGGAGTTCTCTTTGCATCTGAAATCTTTCACTTTCTTTCTGTCCAGCTTGAAGTCTTTGAACTTCTTCCTTTTTAGTTTGCTCTTTTTAAATTTTTTCCAATTCAGTGTGCGATCTTTCAAATTCAAGTGAGCTTACAGACCTTACATTCAGATGGCAGTCTTTGAATTTCATGTACAGCATTAGATGTTGACTGTGTTGGTGACAAGATTAGAGAGCTTATCGTGTCTGATAAACTTTGAGTTTTGGTTTTGTCTTCATCTTTTCTCCTTTTGCGTGTCTTGGGAAAGTCGTTTTCACTATCTTGCAACGGGTTTTCCTTTGTTCTATCCAAGAAAGATCAAAGGTAATTGAGTCCTTGATATTCTTTCACCTCTGGGAAAGTGCAATCGATATATCCAAGCATTGGGGGAAAATTCCTTGCGAGTTTCGTTTTCTATTAGCCTTCTGTATATTCCTTCAAGATTGTTTTGTTTCTGGGAAGGGAATGCCATTTAATTCCTGGTGAATTCCGCCAGGAATTTGCACAATTTGGCGCACAGCAATTTAGTTTTCCCATGACGTTTCTAGCCTGAATTTGATCCGATTACTTCAAGTCATTATTACTCCCTCAGTAATGTCTGAATTGACCGGCCGTTAGTGACGTCACTACTCCTTTGCTTTAATTCATGCAAAAAGTAAAACACGATCTTCCAGTGACAAACCAAGAAATATCGTTTGGAAATGTCTTAATCATATAGAACAGTTGACAGAATTGCTTTTCTCCTTTCGATCGTAATTCATGTTTAACATTCAACCTATGAACTGCATCAGTACTCTGAACCAGTTGTAATTCAAACTTAGTTGCAATCACGCAATGAAATAAATACACACACGGAACACCTAATTCAAAACCACAACAATTTCCTTTCATTGAAGAGAAGCGGTTTGCTCCTTTACTGATAACAAATGAAAAAGGAAACAAGGAAACAAGAAAGAAAAGCTAACAGAATCATTACACTTGATGGTGAAAATAGCAAGAAGGTCGAATGACAACAAGACATTGGTCTCAGTAAATTTGCATGAACAAAATCACTCTGGAAACCACAAAGCGGCTCTAAATGAAAAACCTACCGACTCTCCGCAGTGATTATTCATTCACAGTTTAATTCAGCAGTTCAGTTTCAAAGACAAGATCAGACAAGGGCAGTCTTGCTGTTTACGATACAGATTATCAAAGTGTTTGAACTCCATGCAAGCATGTCACCGATGCGATCCACTGAATATCAGGCCACAATCCCGCTAAAATTTCTCACAATTATACATAATTATGCGAATATTTAGACAATCAACCAATCAAAATCCTTGCCTGGTTTTTACGTAGTAGTTATGTCAGTGGATGGCATTAATGGCATTAACGGTCAATTCAGACATCGCTGAGCGGAGAAAAACGACTCCAAGCAATCGGATGAAATTCAGGCTGTGACGTTTCCACTTTGGGAACTTTGTGTAAACTGATCCTCCATTNGTTTAATTCAGCAGTTCAGTTTCAAAGACAAGATCAGACAAGGGCAGTCTTGCTGTTTACGATACAGATTATCAAAGTGTTTGAACTCCATGCAAGCATGTCACCGATGCGATCCACTGAATATCAGGCCACAATCCCGCTAAAATTTCTCACAATTATACATAATTATGCGAATATTTAGACAATCAACCAATCAAAATCCTTGCCTGGTTTTTACGTAGTAGTTATGTCAGTGGATGGCATTAATGGCATTAACGGTCAATTCAGACATCGCTGAGCGGAGAAAAACGACTCCAAGCAATCGGATGAAATTCAGGCTGTGACGTTTCCACTTTGGGAACTTTGTGTAAACTGATCCTCCATTTTACCGTACCCCAAAACAGCCCCAGCATGCTATGCGAGCCTCATTCGTTACCAGGACTATTTTGAACTTAAGAACAAAGAATATGCACACTACATAGAAGCAAACTCTTAATTCTCTTTAAAAGCCCTAACCACTGATTTATCTTTGTGGAAAGGTATTCAATATGCTCCATCCAGGTAAAATTTGAGGACAAAGCTACACCGAAGTACTTAAAGTACTACTTAGCTTAAAACAGCTAAAACTGAAATTGAATAAAATCATGTCATTATGTACTTACAAAGGTTGTCGTAAAAGACCACTTGAAGAAATTTCAATGGCATTGGAGAAAATTGTGGGTAAAACTTATACACAGCAAGGATATCCGTTCTACCATAGGTAACTAACAACAGGATTTGTAAGAATCGTTTTGTTCTTAGTGGACCTCATGGCAACATTCAAAAGAAATTTTTCCAAATAACCATTAATGACATTCACATCCATATCAAATACCTCATAATGGGAGTTTCAGAAGGAGCCAAGGGGTACACAATTTCCAGAAATGTAAATTTAACCTTCTGTATGTAACGTTCTAAATTACTGTTAATGGTAAATCAAAGGTAATGGGTATCTTAAATCCCATGAAGGCCTGGGGGGTACTCCCTTACAAGAGCCTAATGGGGATGTGCCGCTGGATGGGGTCGCATTTTCATGACTGGGGTGACTATAATGAGGTTGCATTTTCAATAGAGTTACTAGAATGGGGTCGCAAATTTTAGGATTTTTTGGGAAAGCAGGGATTCAAAATAGATTGGTTAAAAAGATCAGAAAGTTATTGTTTATTAAATTTAAGAATAAGCTTGCATTGACTGCATTAAGGGTCAGAGCACTGAAACATCCTCTCTTTAAAGATGTCCAAGTTGACCATGCTTGGAATCAACAACCTTAAATGCACACCCGTAATCCTAGATCTCCTTAACAACAGTAAATACATCGCCTGTTTCTTCTTTAAAGATACACTCTTGATACCGTTTGACGGCACACCTGATCAAAACCCTGACATCAATCTCACCAGAATAAGACTGAGAATAATCTGCCATGGTTATTGGTACCGCCAGCTTACTGTAAAACAAAAATCTCATCGACAATAACATGTTATTTTACTACCGATCTGTCTGAGGGTGGGGTGTGTTCTGTCTCTGTTTTAACAAGGGCAGTTTAATTGCGTAAAATGCACCTACAATAATACAGTTCTTTGTGCATGTGATCAGTCTTTGTTTTCTATCTTCTATTAGTGCTTATTATCTAGCTGAAAATTTGTGATGATAGAATAACACTCTGTTCACATTGATTTATTTGTAAGTGATTTTCTTGAAGATATCGTAACTGAGGAGCAATACTGTTAAGCATTGCTTTTACTTTATGCATTGTTAAGTAGCAGTTTTGGGAATCTAACCATTTCATTTGTTTTGATTATTCTTCTTTATATTGTTCTAAGTACGTGTTTGTCTTAGTATATGCTGGATATATGGGGATCAACAAGCGGGGAGTTCTGAGAGGAAAATGCAGTGAGAGTGAGTGTGAGTGCGAGGAGTTTGAAAGTGTCTGCAGCATTGTTTGTGAGTACTGTGGCCACCCACCAGTCAAACATGAGAAGCATAGTGATATCTCTCACCACCAGCTAAGAAAATAGTTGTGTCAGTTTCCAATGACATAACACAACCACTCGCCAACTCTACATGGGTAACCTTCGATCCTGCAACACCAGATCCTGATGTATCACAAGATTCTGGTTTTTCAGAGCAAGGCTGCAACTCAGCACAGGCAGTTTCCGATTCTCTGGTACCAGCTGGCTTGTCAGAGGAGTTTCCCGATTCATCTTATTCACCTTCCGATCCTGTAGTACCCACTATTGATTCCACAGCTGCAGTCTCTAATTCGTTAACCATAGAAAGTGTCAATCCACAAACCTCATCAGAGTACCCCTTGGCAGCGAAAAACGTGATATCTTTTCTGAAAAATGTTGCAAAAGAGGAGGGAGACTTGTCAAGCCCGGTCTTAAGATACCATTTGTCAATCACAGAAGAAGAAAAACTGAAGGTTACTTGTAAAGTATGTAAAAAGATTTCTTGGTTGGCAACATAAAGCACTCTCGTGTACAGCCGTGAGCACCAACTACAGCTTGCAATCCCGCAGAATGAAGAGCATTACCTTACCTCCATTACAGCTTGTTTCCATGAAATTGATCAAGCATTTCCACACGTATTCGTCTTGACACAAAGGAGCATTTGCCGTGTGAAATACCAATATATATGGTTGAGTGGCCAAAGAAATCCTTTTGATAATGCCAAGCAACATGTTGAAAGCAAAGCACAGAAAACAAAGATGCATGGAAGCTCGATGGTAAGCAGCAAAGATATTTCTTCGTATTTCCAAGCACCTCTGCAGAAGGAGCCAGTAAGTGACAAGAAGCCTTCATTTAAGCCTCGTCTAAGCTGTCATTATGACATGGGTTCTATTACAAAGACTACGCTTTAACAATAACAGGAGAAAACATGAAGACAAAGCCAAAGTTGTTGCTTAATGATACTAAACCTGGAACAGATGAGGAACAGACAATCGTGGTATCCAGAGCCGTTCTACTGTTTCGTAAAAAATGACGATTCCAGTGGTTTGTCATCGGAAATTGGCGGAACTTTTCGCAGTTCACAGTGCAAACGTGTTTCCTGTAAGTTTATTAATGCTGATTGAATATGTTCTAGCTCTGCAAACATTCCAAACTTGCCTTCGTTTTGAAAGCACCTTCCTTTATGGATTAAGAAAACAGCAGATACTGGTGAACAAAACCTACGTTCCGTTAGAAATGAATATCTGACAAGTGAAGAAATCGTTGAGAAAGTAACAGAACAGAGAGCAAAACTAGACAGCTTAGAGTCAAATCTGTTTTTCGAAACCTCCAGGAATTTGCAACTCAAGATGCGTCTAAGAAATCTGAAAGAAAAGCTAGAAGAGTATGCTAAACGTGGGTCCATGAAAGCTATTTGCCCCCGAACAGGGGCTATTCAATGACAAAACAGTTCTCAGGGATTTTTTTGACTACTATCTCTAAGAACTGCACGTCAAAAAGCAGGGGAAACGTAATAAGGCCTCCGCAAAACTTTTCTTTGAAGTTGTTCTTATCTGGGGTGATCCCAGATTGGCTACATTTGTTGCATCAAATGTTTGGACGTGAAATACACTCTCTCTATGGGTGGCACAATCGTGACCACACTACATTGGAAGGTGGAATAAATCGTCCTCACATGTCAAAGACTGCAGTTTTCTATAAAGAGTCAATTGCCAGTTTAAGCAGTTTAAGAACAAAACAAGTTTAGTTTTAGTTTTGGCTGCCGAAGACGAAACTGCAGTTATCAGCAAAGTTACATACAGTCAGGAAAAGTTCGAGTTGTTGGGGTTCTGTGGTATCAAAGGTGCAAACCATCAATGCCTTGACCAATTCAAATTCACAGTCAAAGTTGCAGACAGAGAGGAAGGCTATAACACCATTTTCAGTGCCTTCCGAAACAACGTAATTGGCAATTATCCTCAACCCATTACTTTCAAATTTTCCTTGCCTTCCTTTACTAATCATGCCCACTTGCAACCATTTTGATACCGGGTTTGTTCATCAGCAGTGCCAAGAAATTCAACGATTGTTTGAGGGTGAACTGGAAGCAACTTTGGGTCCTCTGATCAACCACAGCTCTGATGGAGATTCATGTCGTTGTAAAATTATGCTTCAGCTACTGAGATCAAGGGAGGGATTACGATTTTGGCTTTGTTCTGAGTTGCTGCAAGGAGATAAAGGGTGAAAGTTATGTTATTAGAGATTTAGGAGACCAGGACTATATCCACAACTACAAAAAATAAATCCCTTGGATCACAGCTAAAGGGATTTAATTATGGGGAAGAATATTGTACATATGAATCATCTACAGCTTTTGTATTACACCTTTTGGCACACTGAGCATGGATTGGACCCTGGATGATATCAATCATTGGGATAGACAAAACTGGTGTCCAGTCCAAAAATTAACGCTTCTTCGCACGCAAAATTGTTTACAGAGGCTGATTGACAGTGATGAGGATGGCCGGCACCGATACTTCACTGATCAGAACACTTACTTTCCTGAAGGTCATTTGGAACTATGTAGAGATTTTTTGCAGCAAAGGTAGGACTCTATATCAAAGAACTGTCTCAGTCGCACATTTTCCACTTCTTATGCAAATGTCCTTCTGCGTAATCAATACCTGCTGCAATGTTGCCTTAAGTTTTAAATCCTACAGTGGCCGATACATGTAACAGATGGGTAAGCTGCATTGTGTACTTTTTTACTGTACATTAAAGAATATAACAGTATCACGGTCAAACCCATGGAAACCTTCATACACTTAAACAACGTTTACTAATATATTATGTTTAACAAATAAACAGTTCAAATGCATCTTCCTTCCATTCACCATGGGCTTAACCCAAAATAGAGTCCCACGAAGTTTTGTCATGTTCAAGACGCGTGTTTCAATTGCAAATGTAAAGGCCTTGTCCTGGCCTGTCCTCATCCTGCATATAGCACAACACTTTGACAGTCTGACCTTTCCTGGATATTTAGTATCTTGCCTACCCAGGGACCAGGGTCGTCTCCTTTACCACGTACCATATAGTTTATTTCAGGACAGAATGGCACCGTAACGTTGGCAAAAGATATAGGCACTTTTCCCTTTGAAATTCAAACAGAAAAAACGCAGTATGGGCAGTAGCGATAAAAAAGTGGCCAGGCAATTCTCTGCCCAACTTTAAAAAAAATCCTGAAAGCTTGAAAGAACTGGCTCGTCTCGTCGAGGACCTCACTGATGACTGCAGCTATGCCCCATTAGATTTAATAAAGATCAGATAAGGCGGCATATTTTGGATGTCATAAACGAATGCAGGAGAGGCATAAGGAATGGTCATGACTACAGAAGGTATTCTCATCATGATTGTTCTCTTATTGCATGCATTCTGGAAATTATATGTACAATGACATGACTGGGAGAGAATACATGAAATAGCATATACTTGAACTGCGGATATAAAATGGTTTTACCTAAGAATGATCAACAACTTGAACAGTAATACAAACTTGACAAGCCTTAAAAACTGTAGCCTCCCGTGCAAATGTTCTTAAGGGTTCATCAAGCGTTCCTACCCCACTAATGTCTGCTGGACCGAAAGATAAATTCCTTTCCCATTATTTGCAAAAATCAGCTGGAGATCACAAGCAGACTATCGGAGATCCAATCAGTGCTGATTAACTCAAATTGTTGACAAGCCAAACACAAACTTACAAGCTTGGTAGAGTGTCATACGTGACCAAAGATTTTTGCTCCAGACGAGAATCTAGGATATAAGCATGGGTTTTTTTTGTATATTTCTCTTTGTAAGGGATGGATTAGTACGAACGCCTGGGAGTTAACTGAGTAGTTTCTTCTAAAACTGTAAGGTCTTCACCTTTCATGAGACCTTTCTGATCTTTTCTGGAGCTAAGTCGAGAACGAAATTTCTCAAGGTCCAAAGTGCACTTCCCAGATCTGGAAGTCTGCTGTAATTGGTCTGTTTTTTCCCGCTCAAATCAGCAGATTTTGGAATGCGTTATGAACCCCTAAGAACGTCTGCATGGCAGGCTAGAAAAAATGGCCACATAGGCTGTAGCACTAGTACATGCCGTCAATTAGCACTGAAAGGGTTAACCATGTAAGCAGTAACAATTTGTACAACATCAGTTATTGAACAATTATTTTATGAGTGTGTGATGGATATGAGGTGGTAAATAGCCAATGAGGTGCGTCGCACCAAGTTTGCTATGACTATCTCATATCTAACAAGCGCAAATGTAATAATTGTTATATTAAATTTTTTAAACTCCATACGTCTGGTTATTACAACTGAATTTTAGTAAATTCAATTTAAAGTACTACTACGACGAAAATTTTTGGCTTTGTTTCAGAGTTTTTTTTAACACAAATCTTTTCTATAGGTTTAAAATTATACAAATAGCGAAAAATTTGAACCTTACTTGCGTCCGCAGGCTGGAAATTTCCGTCCAAAAAGTGCATAAATACCGTCCGCCATTACACAGGTTGCAACACAATAGCCCGCGAGATCTCCGCAAAGCGGTGTTGCATTTGACCACATGATTTAAGCACTGTGACATAGAAACATCAACCAAAAGATTTGCATTTGGGAAAAGATCGAGCCTTGAATATAATGTCGTCTCAATCCGAATCGTCTTCCTCCAGTTCTTCTGGAAGCGACACAAGAAGTTTTTAACATGGGAGCAGATTTGTCTAACTTAATTCCTTAAGAAGAAGATTTAAAGCCACTGGCAACAGAGGAAGAAGCCACCGAGCAAGATGCAAGGATGGCTGAAGAACTTGAAGAAGAACTCCACTATCAGGCAAGATTTGACCGGGAAGTGGACGTTACTACATGGTATGCGCATTGAACTGTTTTTGTTTAAGTTTCTGATCAATTATCTGGTTTTTCTTTTACTTTTGTTTGGTCATGCTTTATTAGAAAGTAAACATGAAAGCCTATGTTTGGACTTATTAGTTTTTGTTGACGCCAACTATGGCCTCTATTACCATGCAAACTGAGTCCTAGTTTGTTATCGCCGAGTTTCTTAATGGCTTTTAGAATCTTTATTCCGATTATTTATATTATTTGTATTCTATTCCATTTTTTATTCCAGTTTATATTCGAACACTATTGTTTGTGTACTTTTGGGACTGCAGGTGCTTCTGCTCGAATTGCTCAGTTGACTTCACCACTAAACCAGAAGAGTGCCAGTGCTGCCAGGAATTGACCGCTGTGGTGAAGTTATGGAAAGGTTTGGCGATACCGGTCAGTGTATTACTCTCCATCCTGAGTTCCAGGATGTCTGCCTCAATCAGCACGTTTTAGAAGTAGCGGCATTGGGAATGAAAACAAAATCTGGAAAGTCATACCAAGTATTGTATGATCAAGGACGAAAATCAAAGTCAGAGTAAGTTTCCTAGCTAGTACCACTTCTCATGTTCTCTTGGGAAAGTAAAGTCTTGAACACGTGAATACAAAAGCATTATTATGTTTAAAATTCACATTTTGATTCCACTGTTTGCTTATTTGGCTGGTGTGTTTGATTTTTCCTTCTATTTATATTGAACCCAGTGGTTTCACCTAGTAGTGAGTCAACACCCAACTAGTTCAACCGTCAGAAATTGAGTTCACTTCATATTTGCTTATATTGAATTAGCCTCATAAATAGTTAGCCCCGCCCACAAAAATTTTATATGGTCTGTATTTGTTGCTGTTACTAAAAGTGTCTTGTGCCAAAATGGAAATAATTGCAAGTGATAAGGGGAAACCGCTGTCCTGATCTCCAGGTTGTTATTACACATGCATTGCATGTAGGTTGCCACCATTTGTTTGGACTTCCAGTAAGATTGAATGAAATGCACTGAACACAATTTGATCACATGCGCTTGGACATTCTATCACTCTGTAATCCGATCACACGTGTTGACTATCTCTCATCTGAAACTTATGCCAAGTACACCCAGCACAGTGATGGAGTAAAATTGTTTTGACCTTTGATTGTTGTTGCCCGCACTCCATAGAAGTAACTTCTGAACTTGTTGTTTTGAAAGGTTTTTGAGGTCAGTGGCATACCACCAATTTACCAGGCTGCTATGGGATTTTTACTGGCAGTTCCCGGCGATACCCTCTGCCATGCTGTGCTTACAAGATGATGAGAAAAAAGTTTCCAGAAGAGAATCAAAATTACCATGGATTTGAAGATGATGATCGATTCATATAGTTGGTATAACCAACAAAAAGCCACCAAAGGTAATAAAAGTCATGACCAACAGAACGTTATGCCAATTATACATTTTAATGACTCAGACACAGCTTTAAAGCTTTGGGAATTCAATATTTAACTCAAGGTGGAAAAGCTAATTTTTTTTCATGTAAATAGATTAAAACTTGTGCTTGAGGAAGGTAGAAGTATAATAAGTTTGGTGCATATTATGCTACAGGTCAACGCTACATTTAGTTTAAAATTTTTAATCTCGGTTGTTTCTCAAATTCCTTTGTCTCCTATCTCTTATTAAGTAATGGTTCGCACAAGAACTACCAGGAGAACAGTAGGCCAAGTGCAGCGGGAGCCGTTTCAGTTTCCCGGCTGATCCAATTATTTCTTGTGTTTTCATTGGTTGATTGGTTGTTTAGCGCGAAATTCAAATTGAAATGTAAAAATGCTGGATTTCGGTAGAGACTTTATCGAGAAAAAAAAACAGGACAGTTTAATGTTTTGGTCCTTCTGCTCGTGTGCGAACTTTCGAGAAGATCGTATGTGCAGAAGGTTTCCAAAATACCATTTTAGCTTGCTTGTTGGATAGATTCAATAATTTGATGCCTGATTTAGACACTTTTTGCCACCTCGTTTGAAACAAGATCCACAACCACTGGGGATTGTGCTTCGCAGCAGGGCAGCAGGCTCGATTGATCACGTCTCCAGAATTCTCCCGCTTACCAATCTCAAGGAGTGTTTTTATTACTTTGCAAAATGACTGACCGGTAAGGAAACATTATTTTTCAATACAAGCTACAATAGGACGAACATTTCTGACTTTTTTTCTGTCTTTTCTGTTAGAAAACGTCCCTTGTTGTCGCCTTCCACTGGAGAAGAAACTTCGCGTGCAAAAGTGGCAAAAAGTGCGACCTCGGTAAGCAAGAAATCCTTCAAACACTTCGTTTTCAAGGCTCCATCATATTTTATATCCATCAAAAAAAAAACTAGAGAAGTCAAATATTCCTCATTATCATTGCCTGTTGAATTTTGTGTTGTGATAACATTTTCAATACTTGCCGTAACTGCCCTCATGTATTGTTGTCTTGTAGAAAGCCAGTCTAATCCGCTTGTACGGGAATAACTATAAGTCCAATGGCAAACTATTTACGACCCGAGAAATAATGGACGGCAAAGATTTCAAGGCGGTTGCAGGAATGCTTCATGTGGCCGAAGGGACAGCGCAAATATACACCATCGATTCTTTTGCTAAGGGGGCGCCAATTGATCACGTGCAGCTGGCAAACCTCCTCTAAGTAACTGAAGAAAGTTTGAAGCAATATGGAACTACATTGATTAGAACAAAGACCACAAGCTTCGGTCAATACAAGACAAACTGGTAGTTTTTTCCTACAATCAAATAAGATTTGTTCTGGCTTGAATGATTAGGGATTTGACCCTGTAAATTCTTTTACATACCAGAAGACAAACCGTGAGATTCACAAAACGATTTCCATAACAGAAACTGCAATCCTATGTCTTAACGTTGTTTAAAAAAAAAAGAAAACATGTAGAAACTTTTCAGACATCTCTTATATAACGGCAAATATGGATAGCTATAACATGAATTCTCAAACATGTATTTCAGTGAAATTCTTGTGAACAAACGTTATTCCTGGAAGGTTTTTCTTGTATGACTTCCAGTTTCATAGATATGGCTATAAGAACACTTTTGGCTAAGAAAAGTTGTCACTGTGAAAAGTAACCTAAGGGTAACTGGGAAGCTGGATAATTTCCCTCTGAATGTTGCATAAATTGTGTTCTAAAATGTCTCAAACAAAGGAAACGTCTTGATTAGCTTGCTAGTGCTGTTTACCCGGAATTCCTATCAGTGAGATCATTCATGGTTTTTGCTTTTCATGGGTCAACGTCACTTCAATTAGGTGTCCAAATAATTTTAGCCGAAAGGATATTTTCGTATATATATATATATATACAAATACAAATGTAAAGGATGAAAATTATAAGTTGTAACTATATATATATATATATATATTTTTTTTCAAATGTTTGTTTATTTCATCCACTTGTTGTGAAAAATCATCTTCACCACTGTGTACCTTTATACACAGTGGCGAACAAGTGTAATTATGTAAAAATATTGAAATATAACCTGTTTTTTGATTGATAAGAAAATCAGTGTTTTTATGACAAATAAAATCCAAATTGGAGCATATGCGGTCCTTCCCAGCTTGTATATCTCTTACTTCATGAAAGATCTACACTTTCTCACATAATAATTTCTTGCCTGCAACTTACATATAAGTTTTTGAAGTCATGTCACTTGACAAAAGTGACAAATAACAAACACTTACCTCAAGCGCCATCAGTTATTGTTTCTCATGACAAAACATTTGTATGCCAAAAATGTGACATTTTTGAACATCACTTTCCCCCCCAAACCCCCCAAAAAGAATGAGGCTAACATATTATTTTCCTCAATAATTCAAGAGGAATAACTGTATTCTTTAAAGCTATAAACGATGGCATACACCCAGCAAGACTTCTTACTCAAAGATGGATCATCAGGGCTTTTATGAGGGGGTGTGGGAGGGGTTGTTTTAGGCAATTACCGCAAGTAAAACTCATGAACAGCAAAAACTCGTAGAATGCCAGCTACGATCAAATAAAATCAAATAATCCAAAAAGAAATCTTTGTTCAACCTGAAATTGGAAAAAAACCACAATAATTGCTGAGAAACATTGCCAAACGCTATATCTTCTCCACCCTCTCACTCCTACATAAAATATAAACAGCAATCCATAATGAGGTTCTGGGTACACACAATTCTAGTGACTGACTACAAAGGTTTTCTTAGGCAGGTGACTTCTGCCATGTAGTAAATAAAAATGCTGCCATTGGCTAGCTTGCATATTATACAGTACTACAGAAAATGAGAGTGACAGAACAGGCTCTCAAATCACATTGCCATGTCTCTCGGAATATAGTTCTGACCCACTTGGCTAACATCCTTGTACACTTTGAAGGGCAATAAGCAATCATTGCTCCCACGTTTACATGCCTATGTGAGTCCACTATCGTACATGATCGATCTTTATTTACAATAAAAAGGAAACTTCTCCCTCTAGTGACCACAACATTGCAACTGGATGGTGGAGTAGACAAACTCGACATTACCATTACTTCTGCCAATAGATCTTCGCAGTCGCTTCCAATAAGATTAAGACCTTGTCCTATGTACTGAACAAAGCATTCATAACTTTATCTCTTAGTTGTAGCCATCCCAAGAAAACAGTGTTCAGCAGCAGGTTTATTCTGAAAGGCTTAGGTTTATGTGGAAGCTCTGATCCAAAGGTTTCTTTCTACACATTGGAGAGAATAAAGTGGTAGATCTGCATTATATCTTCCTGTGCATTTAAGGTCACATGAAAGGGACCCTGTTCTGGAATCATAGACAGTAAGGGAGAATCTTCATTGACTTCTTGAGCAATAAGTTTTTTGAAGTTTTGAAGTTTGTAGTTCGACATTTTCCTTAGTTCAAATTTTATTTTCCTTTTTTGTTGGGTATGGTAGTGTGTGATAATAAGTTGGAAACAAGGGAATTTAAAGTAAAAATAAAGGCTAAAATTGAAGAACCAAAACTCTAATTATTATGAATGAACTTTTCTATCTCTAGATATTACAATGGACTTGAAATATTAAATACTATTGAAGGTTCTTTTAACAGATCTATAGCTGTGTACTCTTTTGCTACTCAAGAAGGACAAAAATCAAAGAGAGTTAATATTTCATCTAGAGACTTCAAATTATCTTTTATATCTCTCTATTTCTATATATTTTGTACTGTCGGAGCTTAAAGGTGTTATGATACATATTTTGTATTGTTTCCCTTAATTGTGATTTTAAGTTAATTACTGTAACTTGTGAGCTCGAATTTTTAAATATTGATGACCACAGGGCTCTGCCAATACCTAAATTCCTTTAGTTGAGCTTGGTTATTCCTTAACTTCATCTTCCTCAAATCTTCCTTTAAAGTGGGTAAGAATGTTGTTTTAAGCTGCTCCTGTTGGTCAAGTACTAGCTGAGTGATGTAATTAATGTCTATTCCACCGCTGCATGTCTTTTGTGCACCTTTCCAGTCCACAGTAATGATTCGATGAATGTTTTTCCTGTCATAAGAAAAGGGTACAGCAAGTACTTTATCGTGAATGTCAACCAAGTTGGATGCCATGTGTGTAGCAAGGGAAAGTTTCATGTAGTCACCAGTCAGCCGCACGGTCTGGATATAGTGGAAGTCACCCAACAAATATATCATCAAACGCCCTTCCCGTTATCAAAGATCATAATTTTTATTGGCCATAAAAAATCAATAATAATTATTGATTTTTTATGGCCAATAAAACATGGACTTTGGTATTGACTTAAAAGGGAATTTTTACAGTTTCTTAACTGGAAATCTTCCTTGTTGGTGTTTCTGAAACCTCAGCAGGGTATGTATTACATATAATCTTCTATTAAGTTTGAAGTTAATTGTATTTCCTTTAACATCATCAGGTCAATGCACACGTTGTACACATCACTCAGTGCTCTTTAAGTAGAGCATTTAAATATACTGATTATTTTTGAATGATAAACATAACATTCCTAGGGGGGGTATATATTGATATATGCAACAATAAACTGGAGAATTTTATTTCATTTTTATGGTGTATTTTGGCTTGAAGGTTAGTCCTTGTCTTGTTTATTGCACTCACTTTAATTGAATTTGAAACTTGAAGCTGAATAGCATTTGGATGTTCTTGAATAAGCCTGTTGTTATGTGAATCTATGTCTCGGGGACTGATACTGAACCCTAGTGTTCTGCCTGCATTGATGACATCTCTAGATGCTCCATGTTGTTGAATAAATAATCCTTCTTCCTTCTGAAATAAATTTGTGTTCTGTGATAAATGTATGTAAAATGTGAGAAAACGGGACTGGTACCTAACTGATATAGTGACAGTTATGTCTCACTATTCTGGATGCTTGTTTCATTTTAAGAATACAACAATATAAACTATCATGTCAGCTCTATTGGTAGCTTCACATTGTGAAAAAAAGTCAATAGTAGCTAATATTGTCCTACAACACATTCATTTGTCGGTAATATTAATATGTTCATATAGTGTTTCATCTTGTTTGTATGTTATTTTAACATATAATTAATGATGCATTTCTATGCATAGTAACTCACATTTTTTTAAGGTCCTAAAGTTAGAGTTTATTTGGACCCAGAATTTTACCGGAAATATGCTATGGTATGCAGCAACACAACTGTCCTTTTCTCTTGTAATGTCCTGTGCTCTGCGCTTAATCTTGGATCATCTCGCAGGATTGACTTCAGAATAACATCAAAGAGGCCTGGTGCATGTTTTTCTGAAAATTCCTACATTTCACCAGGTTCATACAATGAATCTGAATTTTGGACTTGGTGATGTTGAAGCAATGCCCTTTGGAATCTTTCTACCAAGTAATCAACTGAATTTTCTAAAATGGAAAATATTTTTTTACAAATGATAATTATTGAAATTGTTTCCATGAATTACTAATATGAATGATATCATTCCTTAATATAAAATAGCTTTAAATGATTTATGATTCAGTTATACTGGTATTTAGAATATCAGACAATGACTGATGGTCTGAAGGTGTAAAAAAACATCTATGACTGTAGAAAGATTTTGGTAGCTTCTTGCTCGTATTTTAATGGAGGCTGGTGATGAAAAACTGTTATTTATTTTTGTAAAATGTGTCAATTAATTCGTATCATTATTAAGTCATTCATACGTTCTCTGACAGACACCTCCCAAAGGTGAACTCCTTGTCCAAGCGAAGACTTTCTGACAGTCCAAGCTACATGAATATATTTACACTCCTTCGTCAACCTCCCCTAAGAAGACAATTTTTCTGGTTCCAAGGGTTTGTGTTGGCAGTGGGTGTGTGAGGCAGTTTTGTGTGTTGCAATTAATGGAATAGTTTATCTAACCTCTTAAATGAGACAACTCATTAAAAACAGTTGCCAGCCTATTCCACACAGTTCCTTGGATAAGGACATCACCTTGACAATTTACTTTAAGGGGACCAAATGATGTTCCTATTTCTGTCCATGCCTGGTGGTCATTTTGCTGAGTCTAAATAATTTTCACAAAATTATATGTAATAATTATAAATATATGTGATTCATGGGGTGGAAAGAGAACAGGCTCAACATGTAATAAAACCTAGACTAATGGCCTTTTGGAATATTAAGGATACATAAACAAAGACTAGAAACAAAACTAGGGCTAAGGTGTTCCTTTGAAGGCCATTTACGGTGTATTTTTGTGTTATATTGTGTAGAAGAACAAATTATCACAACATCAGCTAGCAAGTGAGGAATCTCAATAAATTTTCTTTGCGTTTCATCTTGCCCAGTGGTCTTCTTCTTGTTATTGTTATTACTATTATTGTGTTATTATAATCAAGTATTATCAGACAATTTAATACGTAGGTGAAAACCAAATTTTGTCACACGATGCCAGAGTAAAAAAAACTCCAATCATATTTTTTGTCAACTGTTTGGAAGAAGTAAGGAAAGAGTGATGATAAATTACTCCTTCCATCTTGTTTAACCTCTACAAGGAGTTTTCTGAACTTTCAGGCGATGCTGTTAAAGCTGTTCAAAAAAGCCATTCAAAGTGCATGGCGTCAAGGGGTAAAAATCAATTATCACGTAGTGAAAACCAAATTTTCTCACGCGATGCTGGGGTAAAAACAAGTTAAAGTTACATTTTTGTCAACTGTTAGAAAGATGTAAGGAAAGAGTGGATGATAAATTACTACTTTCATCTTAGTTAATCTCTAAAAAGAGTTTCTGAACTTGTAGACGACGCTTTTAAAGCTGTTCAAAAAAGACATTGAAAGTCCATGTCGTCGAGCGGTAAAACTTTGTCAATTAAATATCCTTAACATTCGCAAAGCTTGTACTTTCACGCTCGTTGTTGTTAATTAAGTAAAAGTTAGTTGTCAAACCTATCAAACAAAAAGGTGAACCCCTAAATGAACGATGATGTTAAAACCAATGGGTACTATTGACAACTTTTTATGAAATTTAAAGCCGGGGTTTTAAAAAGTGTTTCAATTAATTTTGCTCATTATTAATAGACTCAACTTTTCCTTGCACGAGCCTGGCGGTATATATTTGGGACGCAAAGTAAACATCACTTCGTTGTCAATTTTTGTTGAACATTCTGTACACCACTTTGTACCAGGGGAATATCCTTCTGTATCCTTCCCAACAGCGTCTAAAACTGGGTGAAGTCTGCTGGGAATAAGTTGCTTTTTGATGCATCGTGAATGAGATGCTCGAGGAGCCAAGCATCTTTTGTTTTGCCGTCTTACTTCGTCCCAGTGGACACGGCAAACTAATGTGCCCACTGGGGAGTTCAGCTGCCCTTGCCATGTGCAACGTCAGTTTGTAATGACGGCCTCCACATTTGCATCTACTGCCTCCTTCTATTGCACATTTCTTGCCTCACGCGAAACAACACAACCACAACAACACGAAACACAAAATTCCTCCCCGTAAGCGCGAGCTACTGCAAACTTCAAACATGATTTTCACCGTTGGCGCAAACAGATAACCATGTGGTGCAAAAGTTTGAGAATAGAAAAATGTATAAGCTTTCGAATGAAGCGAGGTTTTTCGCCCCCTTTTTGGTTTGTTTCTCCCTTTTTGCTTTTAAACTTGGCGCGACAGCAAAGTTATGCTTACACTATTGGTTTATATACTAGACAGGAAATAAAAAGCTGACGGGATGTTAAATTTAGTGCTCATGCGCAGTGTGTTTTGCCGCAGTGTTTGTTTTGCGACGTTGATGTTTCTACGTCACATCTCGCCCCAACTCCTTCAAATACTACTCCTGGTCATTTTTTGAATCGAGTAATGGCAGCAACACATTTATGAAAATTGCCCTGCAAATAAACACACTTCCAGATCATATCTGGACTCCAAACTTGGCACGGTAAGTCACTTTTACATATCTTTTTGAAATATGTGATAAAAAACAAATTCCCAACTTTCATCGTAGTGACACTATAAATATTACAAAACGACCAGATACTAACGTAACTTCCAGTAAACCGAGGGAAAATCACATGACTTGTGCTCTGTTTGTGAACTTAGTTGAATAAAATCTGAAAGGGAAGGACGCTGTGCTTAAATTATTCTCCACATGTGCTGTTTTTTTTAACTTTTCCTTGCTGTGACTGTGGATTTTGATGCTGGATAGGACAACCTGAGGCCCATTATGGACTTGCGAAAGTGTTAAGAGGTGTAAAAGCTCTTCAAACACGCAAAAACCTGCTAATGGTTTTGAAATTTACTCCTGCAAGGACTTGCAAGCCATCCTGAAAAATTTTAAGGTCAACTTTGTTGTTGTCATTAAGCTTACATAATCAGCTCGACGTACCAAAGAATTAAGCTTATAAATTGCTTAAATTTGTGAGGAAACTTCGAGGTACATGTAAATAATTTCAAACCAAAGTTTGTGGCTTCTATAGTATTTTCTGTTTTTTTCTGTTGTTTCGTTGGTAAAAAGCTCTTGAAATCTACCTCTTTTCCGCCAGTTTGTCCAAGAGAAATTTTTTTGTTTTCCATATAAGGTCAAACTAAGGTATATGAGCTGATAACCGTGATTGAGTGAACCAATCAGAATGCTAGAAATGCATTATCAGAGGTTCAAAATTTAATAATGTTTCTTATTAATCTACAGCCTCATAAACGAACTGTAAAGAAACAAGCCAAGGACCCACAATCCCGGACAAAACTACTTGAGAATTTGTACCCCTTCATACACACTATCGAACACAACAACACTACTTCAACAACAACTGATTTGCGGTACCAAATCCACCTCCCCCCAGGTCAAAGTTGTTTCCTACAGATGTCTAAGGATCAGGGTTGCTTTAGAACACACAACAACATTGCTTCCAAGGGGAGGGGGGAAGGGAGGACGCAGTACAACGAGGATGTTAGGAAAAATGCTCTGGGAATGTGACACTTTCCCGACAGTTTTGTCCAAGATTGCAGATTCTTGCTCTTCCACAATTTGAATGGTTTTGTGACCTAAGAAATTTGTTTGTGTTGTAGGTAAAATCCGTTCCCTGTGTAATCTTCAATTTTCTTTGTGTTTTATTAGGGTAGGAGACAAAGGAAATTATGAATTAAACTAGGTTGAATACTGCTGTAACCTGAGAGTGGATTTTACCTACAATTTACATATGCACTGTATATGTATCTTACAAAATCTTTCCATGGATGTATGAAATGACGAATCAAAATCTTACATGTAGAGCCCGCTTCCAATATTTTGTATTTTAAAGTTGATTTCTCCTGGAAATAAAGCATTCAGAAAAATTCCTCCTTATGATGTGAGCATCGCCTTCCAGTTGGGGAAATGCACTGATTACCTTTAATTAATCACAAAAGTCAATGTTATTTTAATTAACGTATATGTCACAATTAACTTAAACTTGCATTTTCAAAATTTTCTTGTATTGTATGCCAGAAGACACAGCCACTTAGAACAAAACCAAAAAATTTACAAACACTGGAAAAAATAACAAAAATTGTAGAAAACTAGAAGAAATTTACAATCTACAAAAGTTATTGAAAATTACAATTTAAATTATCTTTACCCTTATAAATGAAAAATCAGTTTAAATTATCTTTACCCTTATTAATGAAAAATCGGTAACTCTTTCATTTTATTTTTTTTTAACATAACATAGTAAGGTAACTGATGAAAACTATATTTGCCAGAATGATTAATTATTGCACATATAATATATAGATTTAGCTAGGGCTAAAAGCGAAGCTCCTATTAACTCGAATTTATAATTCAAATCAAACAATAAACTTGTATTCCACAAATCAGTTATCTTTAGAGCACATTTATGTGACTTTTGAAGGAAAGGCTAAGTGATTTTAAAGAAAAATAATTTGCAAACAGTCCAAGCTAAGAGTGAACTTAATCTTACATCGAGTTGATAGCCTTATATGTACACCCAAAAAAGAGCATAGCCATAATGGCTCTTGATCACAGTAGATTAGGCCTGGAAAACAAATTATTGGAAAACAAATTAGGCCGAATTTTTTTGTGTTCTACAAGTTTACTTCACAAAATCTTGCCAACAAGTCTGGGAACGTGTAAAACAACCTTTTATACTTTTTATACATCACATCTGATGTGAAGCAGTACCATGAGGCGCTATTTTTATCATACAGACCTCGGACAGAATGCAGTATTTCACAATTTTGCAATACAAATTGCACTCATTCAATATTCAGGACGATCCAAGCATGCGTAGGGTTTTAGCGAACCTGTTAAAAAATGTCCAAAATCACCTATACACTATCCGGCTCTCACTTTTGACAAGCGCCAAAGTCAACTGTTTAAATTAAGATGAATAATTATATGCTTCAACATAATAAAGAATTTATTTCTTTATTTTTTATTTAACATTTTTATAACAATGTGAATCTTCAAAAGCGTTTGATACGCGCAGCATTTTGACTACTCCTGCAAGCAATGTTCATGAGCGACTAAATCTCTGTCACCCTTTTCTCGAAGCTTAACACTTTAGAAAACACGGATACAGAGACAGTTTCTGCTTTCGTCTTCATTGACTCCTTTACAAGAAGCTATTCGATTTCCCATCAAAATAACCTCTAGTTGCATTTGGGTTGCCATACCTGTTGATTGTATTCTTTTACATTGGTATGTCTGTGGTGCGGACGGACGGTCGTGCGGTCAGTCGGTGGACGGTCACTTGATTATCAAATTTTTTTGGATGGGTAGTTTACCACATTTTCTTACCCATGGTGCTCTGCTGCACGCGCAGGAGCTCCGCTATTAAAGTGTCTCTGAAAATCCTTGTTTATGTTTTAAGCCAGCTTCCTGGTGTTGGGTTTTTTCAAAGATGAACTCGAGGCAAGAAAATCGCTCAAAGCTTTCTTTTACAGCCAGAATTATGACTAAATATTCTTTGGACATTTTCTTTCTATTTGCTGTGAGCAAATGTCTGAAGGCTTTTTAAAGTTCTCTAAGCTTATAATGAAACCTGATACTCGGTCAGAT